GAAGAAGGAGGAGGGGAAGGGGAAATAGGGAGGTGGAGGGAGAGGAGAAGAAAAGAAGAAGAGGGGGAGGAGGAGCAGCAGGAAGAGGAAGTGAGGGGATGGTTGGACTAGAAGACCTCCAAGGGTCCCTCCCAACCCTCTGATTCTACCTTCCATGAGGGCATCTTTGCTCTGTGCCGAGTGACAGAAACACCCCAGCGCTGAGGGAAATAAAACAGGAAAACCCTTTCCCATTCCATGGTGAAAAAAAACTGAAAATCCTTTATTGACCTGTTCCCTTGCAGGAAATAAGCAGGGGAAACTATGCAAATAGCAGGGGGACACAGGAAGGATTAACACCTGGAGTGGTTCCACATCAAAGAGTTGCTCGCAGATCAATAGGCTGCCCCGGGTCCTTTTTTTCTTGATTGTTCTTTTTATTAGCTATAACCATAAACCGCGTACAAAGCTTTCTTCTCCCCCACAAAGATGGCATTTTTCTCCACAAAGCATCCTTTTATCAGCCTTTTGTATCAAGTTGTATATCCGCAAGATCGGACCTGCAAAAATCGAATCTGTTTCCAGCACAGGAATTATAATCCGTCAGGTGCGGGGGAACCTCTTTCTCTGAAAAATGTGGATTTTTGCGGCACAATTCTCTGCCCTAAAACCACGGAAGGTCACCATCCCATTTGACCAGATCTCTCAGGGGGTTCAAGGATGGAAGTACAGATAGTCCTCGACTTACGGCTATTCATTTAGTGACCGTTTGAAGTGACAGCACCGGGGAAAAAAGGGACTTATGACTTGTTTTTCATGGTGTTCTGACCAAGGCTTCCTGAGACCGTAATTAAGCACATGCTCAGTTAAAACAATTCCTGTTTTATTTCAAAGCTGGGAATTATGTGCATTCCCAGCCTGTAATGAGTCCCAAACAGTTCCTCGAGATAAGCACCCACCTTTCTCTCCTTTGACTTGCTGCCAACAACAAATGTGCCAAATTAACTGAAAAAACCCCAACCGAACTACAAAGTCCACACAGAGCTTCCAGGTTTAATCCGAACAGAATGAACGACTTTGCTTCCTGCAAAGGTTTCTCTACCTTTGCCTGTCCTTTATACCTTGTGGGAGGGGCAATCACCTCCAAGCCTTACTCCCAAGTCACCCCTTTTGTCTCAGCTGATCTCACCTTCCAGCATCTCTGTGCACATGCACACTGGGAACAGGCTCCCCTTATTCCTCTGCCTCACTGCTGCCAGACTGTGGAGGTTCCGGAGTCAGCACATAACTCCCAGATGGTCCTGGCCCCATCCCTCCATCAGATGCAGGACCCTCGTCCGAATCCTCCCCAGACTTCCAGACTGGTCCCCGTTCTTCCCTACTTCCGATTCCGCTGCCATCTGCACCAGCTGCCAGCGAACCACAACACATGGCAGCATCCCCAGGTCATCAGATGCACGGCAACTGATTCGTATTTATGACATTTGCAGCATCCCAGGCTCACACGATCCCCTTTTCTGACCTTCCAACAAGCAAAGCCAATGGAAGAAGCCGTGCTCGCTTAACGACCATGCCACTAGCTTAACAATGGCAGCGATTCCCTTAATAACTGTGGCAAATAAGGATGTCAAATGGGGCAAAACTCACTTTAGTGAGTACTTCACTTAGCAACAGGAATGTTGGGGTCATAAGTCGAGGACTACCTGTGTTAAACTGGCACACACACTGTGATGACCCAAAGGGGTGTGGCACAAAGGCAACCCAGTCAGATAATCAGTAGGAGTCCCTTTATTAGCTCCAACTTTGCCCCCAATGTCCTGGTTACCTTCTGGGCTGGAGAAAAAACTCTCCCAGGAACAGCCTTTGGCTGCAGAGAATCAAGTCCAAAACATGGTCAACAAAAACTGTAACTATAAGTCCAATCAAGGCAAAATGAGGTAATTAGTCCGGCAGGGAAGAAGCAAGAATTCCAGACATGAAAGGCACAACAATAACTCAACATGGTTGGGAAGATGCCAGGAACACAGATAAGCAAAGTCAACACAAGATAGTCATGTTTGCTCCCAGCAGATATTGCACTCAGCATGCATCTCTTTTAAACTCCGTTCCCAGCTATGGTTAATGAAGGGAATCAGGGCCCTTTCGTCCCCCATAAGCCACGCAACCCACATTGCTTCCTTCTCCGTTCCTCCCTGCGTGCCATAGGATAAAGAGGGGGTGGGCCTGGGTCTTCCTCTGAAGTCCCTCTCCCTTGCTCTCCCTCTTCCCTGCTCTGCCCAGCTAGACTCTGCCCTTCCCCAGTTTCCTCCACAGCCAACGGAGCCACACTCCCACTCCCTGTCAGCTGTTCATCTTCCTCCTCGGATTCAGATTCTGACAGGGGCATGACACACACACCCTTTCCAGGTGTATCCACAAAGAGGAGAGTTCAAAAATAAATCCAAGATGGCACCCATAGCCCTCAATTGCAGCCACCATCTGGCCTTTTTTGAACTCTGAGAAAAGGATTGTGGCCATAAATGGAGGATTTATCCGTGTTTCAAATCAAAGAAGGAAGGAATTGGAATTTTACCTGAATCCTCCATCCTCAGCTTCTTATTACTGGGATTTTCATCACTGTCATCGTCCGACATGTCCATCTCTTCTTCCCTCCTGATCCCCATCAGCTGCTCACTGTGAGCGTTCCTGAGTTCCTAAAAGTAAAACACGAGAAAACCCCAAAAACTTACTTCATTAGTCCTGGGCTGAAGCCAAATTCCAGTTCCTGAACTCAATTCCTTCCCTTGGAAAGTGGCTATGTACCATTTGGTCCAGTTAATTAATTTTAAAAAAAAATTTTTTAGCACTTCTGATGGAGATGCATTATTAATGTCTAGTTTCAAATGAGGATCGTCTTCTGCTTTGGTGATGTTAGGTTTAACCTTCACGCTAATTTGATTCTGAGGAGGTTAAATCCATACCTTTCAGTAAACTCTTACAAAGATATGGAGGGGAAAAAATAAGTACTTTAGAGAGAGAATGATTTAAAAAAAAAAACCACCACTTTAGGAGGGTTCTACCCTTTCTTGCTCAATATCTATTTGATTTTGGGAGAAGGGTGGCAGACGGAAGTAGAAAAACAGAAAAAAATAAGGGGGCAAAACCTCATAGGCTGCTTTAGTTTTGGCCTAAAATGGCAGGTGTATCCACAAAGAGGAAAGTTCAAAAATAAATCCAAGATGGCACCCGTAGCCCTCAATTGCAGCCACCATCTGGCTATCTAGCTAGGACATTGAAAGTTCTCTACTGGGAATCATAAATTCTTCATCTAAATGACTAACCAATGCTTCTCCAAGTGAAATAGCCTTAGGAATAATAATCTATATTAGGGGATGTCATTCATCTGATTATTGTACTGTGGGGTCCTGGGTGCTCTTTAAGCTGGGTTGTTTTCTTACAGGCATTTCATTACCCAACTAGGTAACATATCATCAGTGCCAGGAAGGAGGGTATCAACTGAAAAGAGACTCCTTTGGTCTTTTTAGCTGCCAGAAAAAGGGAGTGGGGGGAAAACAAGGCATTCCTTAAATGCCTAGATAATCACCTCGGCAGCCCAAAGTTGTTGGAGCATAAGAAGGTTATTGGAGAGCATGATGGATGACTCTTGGAGAGGGATGCCCCCCGTTGGAGAAGTCACATCCAGTGGGTGGGGGGAAGACCAGGGTCAAGGGGGAAATGTATGGTGTAATTTAGTATCGGCTGCATCCAGCTTACACCAACATGGCCACTCCTAATAAATCAATTTACTTTTCTCTGAGATGCGGCCAGAGACTTTTGATTTGAATGAGGGCAGATTTGTTGGAGCCCTGACAGAGGGGGGGGGGGTTTGTGGTCGAGGAGGAGGAGGAGGACTGTGGGGTCTTTGGTGCTCTCTGAGCTTGGTTGTTTCTTGCAGATGTTTCATTACCCAACTAGGTAACATTATCACTGCTAGAAGGGGATGGGGTTTGTGGAGAGGAGGAGGAGGAGGAAGAAGAGGAAGAGAAGGAAGGATAGGAGGACTGTGGGGTCCTTGGTACTCTCTGAGTTTGGTTGTTTTCCTGTAGATGTTTCATTACCCAACTAGGTTATATCATCAATGCTAGAAGGGCATGGGGTTGGAGGAGGAGGATGACTGTGGGGTCCTTGTTGCTCTCTTTTTTGCAGACATTTCATTACCCAACTAGGTAATATTATCAGTTATAAGAGGGGAGTGGGGTTTGCTCTCTGTTTATATAAAATAGCTTTTATATAAACAGTGTTGGTGGTAGAAATGTTCTTGGTTAAGCTTTGATTGTTTGTCTTAGTTGACAGTTCCTTGTTTGGGATTTGTTTACTGCTTGACTGTTGGTCTAGTTTTAATCTTGAAGTCAATCTCAGTTTGTCTGGGTGTTGATTGCTGGCAAAGAGGTACTGTTTTTGATTGTCTCAAGAAGAAGGGTAGCTGGAATTGGATATGTCTAGTTTAATGAAAAAAGGACTAGGGGTGACACGATAGCAGTCTTCCAATATCTCAGGGGCTGCCCCAGAGAAGAAGGAGTCAAGCTATCCTCCAAAGCCCCTGAAGGCAGGAGAAGAAACCATGGATGGAAACTAATCAAGGAGAGAAGCAGCCTAGAACAAAGGAGAAATTTCCTGACAGTGAGAAGAATTAACCAGTGGAACAACTTGCCTCCAGAAGTTGTGAATGCTCCATCAGTGGAGGCTTTGAAGAAGAGATATGGATAACCATTTGTCTGAAGTGGTGTAGGGTTTCCTGCCTAGGTAGGGGGTTGGACTAGAAGACCTCCAAGGTCCCTTCCAACTCTGTTATTCTGTTCTGCTATTCTTCTGAATGGCATGTAGGTGTTGTTTATCCCTATGTGCTTGTTGATGGCTGATCTGTCTGTATGGCTGGCAGGAATACTCTAGCATTTTTTTTTAACTTGGTCTAGGACCATCCCAGTTTCCCAGTTGAAACTATGATTAATTATAGTAACTATTGTACTATCTGACCTTTAAGGTTTAAACGACTTTAAAAAAAAGAGAGAGATCTGTTTGAAAGTTGTGGCAAGAACAGATTCCGTGTGGGATGTTGAGGTCAAAGTGTTTCCTTAAGTTTGCGCCATTTGAAAGTGTGCATAATGTTTTGAAGTAAATCTTTCCTGTTTAAATGATGACCTTATCTATTTTTGTGTCACCTTGAGGGAGAGGGCCCAGTGCTCCGCAGAAAACTGCTTCAAAAATCAGTTCATATCAGAACAAACCTATTCCTGTGTCAGAGAGGTGAAGGCCTCAGGCTGAGGTGCATTTCTGAAATAAATGTTGGGGCTGAATAGCCAGCCTTGACAGAAATAACCATCAGGAAAGAGGGCACAGGAATGCAAACGACATGTAAATGTGCTTCCTATATTGTGTTTTCTCCTTCTCTGAAAAAGAGGTGACATTATGCCTACTTTCCTTAACGCTGGCAGAAGGAAGATTGGGAGAATTCACTTTTCGTCTCATAATAGTGTCAGCTGGAACACTAGGATATACACCAGTGATGAGTGTAACACTTTGGGGTCCGGAGACAGCTAATTCTTCTATCGAAAAAAAAAAAGGCCCATTCCCAGGGAGGTGATATTAAATCTTTGGGAGAAGAAAGAGAAGTGACTTCTGAGAAATAAATGTGGCTGAGGAACGTACCATTTTATTCCTCGTAATTAACGAGAGACTCAAAATAATTTGTTGGAGAAACGCATCCAGGGTTTTATCAATAAATGTAATCCATTATCCTTCGGGGCTGTTTGCAGCCTTTAATCACAACGGAAGTTGCTGAAGCTGATGGATGGAAGTTTTACAAAGGAGGCCTTGGAAACTCAAGAAGAGCTCTCCCATTTATTAGGGCCATAAATCCAAGTTGCATTCTGCTCCTAAGATATTAGGAAGGGCTTGGTGCAGGCAACAGGTCCCTTCGTCTCAGACAGAAGCACCTACTAGAATGTAACACAGGTAGTCCTCGATTTACAACCACAATGGAACCCAATGTCAATTCATAAAATATTTTCTACACACATTTTATAACTGCAACAGAAAAAAGGGGGAGAGTTTCAAAGAGCAGGCAGCAGTGTGGAATCGAAAGTACATTCCATTCATATTTTCTTCAAAGACTGATTAGATGACTGAAGCTTCTGCCATGCAACAATCTAATTGGAGAGCATGATTGATGACTCTTGGCTATGGACGTGTTTCATTGAATGATACACCCAGAGGGGTGGGGGGGAAAGCAGGATCAAGGGTGACAGTGAATTACATATCTCAGAGTCGGTTACGCCCAGGCTAATGCCGGACGTAGAATGGTCACTTTTAATAAATCCTTTTTAGTTTTGGGAGTGTGGCTCGAGACTCTTGATTTAATTGGAGTAACTGCCGGAATCCTGACAACCAACCTATTTGCTGCTGAGACATTGGTTGAATTTTGCCCCATTTTATGACATTTCTTGCCACAGTCGTTAAATGAATCGCTGCAGTTCGTAACCTGGTTGTTAAGTGAATCTGGCTTTCCCGTTGACTGGTCTGAAGGTTGCAAAAGAGGATCACGCTACAATTGTCATAAATGGGAGTCCAACTGCTGATCACGTGACCATGGAGATATTGCAATGGTTGCAACATAGGAAAAATGTTCATAATTCACTTTTTGCAACGCCGTTGTAAGTTTCAACGGTCACTAAATGAACTGTTGTAAGTCAAGGACTACCTGTACACATCTGTGTCCCTCACAATTCCAATTTCATCGCAAGGGTGGACATCTGTCTGAGAGCCTTGGGATCTAGGGAGTGAAGAGAAGGCCAGAGCATTGTGTGAGTGGAAGGAGAGTTATCTCAAAAGGAAGAAGGGAACATGTGTAGAAGGCACCAAGAAGTACCTAGCTGACTTCTGGAATTTGGAAACATTGCCTTGAGCAGGCGGGGCTTCCAAATTTATCCACTTTAAGACTTGTGGACTTCAATTCCTCATAATTCCATGGCTGGTTGAAGAATTATGGAATTATGGTAGTTGAAGTTCACTTAAAGTGACCAAGTTTGGAGACCCTTGGCCTTGAGCGAAAGAGTGACTTCTACTTACTTGGAAGATTCACCAACCCTATGTTTTCATTTTGAGACAAAATGGAAGATTGTCAAAGAGGGGGAAAAGTTCACTGCTTCTCGGGATGCAATGAATTTTGCCCCAGATGTGTTTGGGGTGAATTTTCGAGTGTCAATTGTTGCTTCTGTTGTTGGAACATCTGTGATAGGACAAATGCCAACTTTGGCTGGAAGGTGTTTTTCCCTTCTGTGAAACTGACTCTTTTTGAAAAAACAAAAACAAAAACCATCGCTTTTCCATCTCTTGACATTAAAAATATTGTCGCCTGTGC